CCGTTCATTTTCTACGCAGAGGTTGCACATACTGAAATAAAATTTGGTATACAGATTAATCATAAGAATATCTAGGTCATATTCTGTTTTGGGTATGATTGAGCAATTTTTGACAGAGTTATGCCCCTTGGACTTAGAAAAATTCCAATTATTTGCAATTTCCGTTCATTTTCTTTGCAGTGATTGCACATACTGAAATGAAATTTGGTATACAGATTTATGATAAAAATATTAAGGTCAAGTTTTATTTTGGGTATGATCGAGTAATTTTTGACAGAGTTATGCCTCTTGGGCTTAGAAAAATTCCAATTATTTGGGGGGGGGGCATAAGTGTTTCACAAACATCTCTTGTTTATTTTTGATCTATTAAGGTCATAAGTGTAAGTTAAGGGCTGCATCATTTTTAGGAATTATCAAGGATTGAATTAATTAATGTTACCTTGAAAATTGATAATGTTTTTGATCATGTTGAAAGAAAAATCAACATGAGGATACCTGCTACTGTTCCTGTAATTTTTTGTAACATATCCTTAATTCTAGTTTAATCAGGAATTAACAGTACCAGTATTTTATATTTCAATGTATATTTAATTTTACTGGTATATATTAATTTTTGCTGTGTTAATTAAAGAATCTGATTGGTTTGATTTGCATCACATGCTAAATTACAAAATTGACTTGATCAAGTTCTATAAATATGATCAGGAAAATCCAAAGTTAGATTAATTAATACGATAACCAGTAGATCGTGATAGAAAATTTGAGCCAATTAATGAAAATCGTATCCTTAAGAAATAAAACTAACAAATGAAGCCCACTAATTCCAAGATATAAACGATATATGGAGTTCTCAGAAAAGCATACTGACCTCACACTTTGTTCTTAGTCAATAAACTTTTTAGCTCACCTGAGCTGAAAGCTCAAGTGAGCTTTTCTGATCACCCATTGTCCATCCATCCGTCTGTCCGTCCGTCCGTCTGTAAACTTTTCACATTTTCAACTTCTTCTCAAGAACCACTGGGCCAATTTTAACCAAACGTGGTACAAAGTATCCTTGGGTGAAGGGGAGTTTAAATTGATAAAATAAAGGGCCAAGTCCCCTTACAAGGGGAGATAATCAAGAAAAGACAAAAATAGGGTGGGGTCATTAAAAAATCTTCTTCTCAAGAACCACTGGGCCAAAAAAGCTGAAACTTATATGGAAGCATCCTGGGGTAGTGTAAATTCTAAATTGTTCAAATCATGACTCCCGAGGGTAGGGTGGGGCCACAATAGGGAATCCAAGTTTTACATGGAAATATATAGGAAAAATCTTTAAAAATCTTCTTCTCAAGAACCACTGGACCAGAAAAGCTGAAACTTATGTGGAAGCATCCTTGGGTAGTGTAGATTCTAAATTGTTCAAATCATGACCTCCCAGGGTAGGGCAGGGCCACAATAGGTATTATAAGGGGGAAATCTGGCCAGCATGGCCAAAGTTACTCAGGTGAGCAATGTGACCCATGGGCCTCTTGTTTGTGTGAAGTCAACATTTTTGGTAAAAGGGCTATATTTGTATGATATTTAGCAGTTTTCATGCTCAATCACACAAGAGATTGTGGCAAACTATGAGTCCAATAAAAAGCATACATGTATTGTTAAGGAACATATATTTTTAGGTTGAAAGTTTTAAGTTATGATGTTTTGGGGCACCTTAGTGGTGATTTTAATAGCAGTAATTCAAAAATCTGGGAAAAGTTAATCATGAAGAAAGTAAGGAAATCGAGCAGTATTTGTTAAGCTGACATTTTTCTACTGCGTAGTATTTATCTATATTTTCAATTATATGTTTATATTAAATACATGAATACCCCAACGTGAGGTCAATCTGTCATTTCCAGACCCTAGGCCTATTTATAAGAATGTTAATTTACCCCAAGCAATCTTCAATCTTGTGACAAGTAAGTACTTGTAAGTGAAATATTGATTAACAGTTTAGCAGCTTCCCAGCAGTCAGATTCTCAGCAGAGTAAAGTAGCCAGTGAGATGCTTGTACATTATTTTCATGCTAATGAAGCCATTATTTGTGATTATGGTTATTATGTTTTTTTCTTTTGCATACCTGGGTACATGTCTGACATTAAGAAGCAGAATATCAGTAACACTCAGCTTATAAACTGATCTCCCCTCCCCAAAAGAAATGTCATCCTTACTGGACAACCCCCTCCCCAAAAGAAATGTCATCCTTACTGGACAATTCCTGTGTTTTGTTGTAACCTCTGACAAGAGCTTTTAGATGTCACTAACTGGTCTAAGCTGAAGCATTCTGATGATGTATGAGGTAGAATGGGTTATTTGCTCTTAGTTTGCCTTTTGGAAACTGTGTTGTATGTAAGATGTACTCTTGTTTCACATCATTAACCATACACCCAAAGGCTAATCTTTACTGCAGCTTAAAAGATTGTGTTTATGAAAATTATCTTTTTATTTAGAAATAAATAAATCTACTGAAAGAGTGAAAGCTTGTATATTCTGCTGAATTATATTAATGTAAGATAAGTCTCTATTGTCATTGTTCTTTTTCAGGGAGATTCACTGAAGTACTTCCTGGATGACTTGAATCGAGTTGGACAACCAGTAAGAGTCTTTTTTATTAAATAAGTTAAAAATGTTGGTCAAGTATATAAAAGAAAACAAACATTTGAATTAAGAACCTTGATTGTGCAGTAACAAATACAGTAGAACAGAACACTTCCCATTTTTATCAAGAAGGGAATGGTTTATCAGTAAGTCATTAAAATAAAGTACAATTCTGTAATTCTGTTTTTCAGGGCTATGTGCCAACAAAACTTGATATTCTCCATGCTAGAAAGGCTACTAAAGGCATCATTGAGCACACCATTGATATCAGTGGGGTACCATTTCTGTTTGTGGATGTTGGAGGTCAAAGGTCACAAAGACAAAAATGGTTTCAATGCTTCGAGAGCATTACTTCAATTCTTTTCCTGGCCTCCTCCAGTGAATTTGATCAAGTGCTTTTAGAGGACAGGAAAACAAATCGTCTTCAGGAGTCGTGTGACATCTTTGAAACAATTATAAACAATAAAACTTTTTGCAGTGTGTCAATAATTCTCTTTCTGAACAAATTCGACCTTTTAAAAGAGAAAATCAAGCATGTCAGCATAAAAGACTACTTCCCCGATTTTCCAGGTGACCCTCATAATCTCGAACATGTACAGAACTTTCTGTTAACAATGTTCGATGAGAAGCGAAAAGATCGGAGTAAACCTCTGTTTCATCATTTCACAACTGCCATAGACACTGAGAATGTGAAATTTGTCTTTCAGGCTGTGAAGGACACGATTCTACAAGAAAACCTCAAGTCTCTCATGTTACAGTGAGGGTGGTTCTACCTACAAGTGTTGTGAAATAAGCAAATCAAAACAAATGAGTATAGATTGCCCGTATATCTTACAGGGGAGCCACCTGTCAGTGACTCGGTCACCTAACATGAGTGAGGGGCTGTCAGAAATACAGAGATCCTCATTAGGGGGACTTGCTTGATATAGCTTCATGTGGCAAGTATGTGTCATGTGCAAAATATGTGAGCAGTGTACGAAAGCGAGAGGTATCACCTTAAATGATACAGAATTCTGCATATATCTTTTTCTAGTCCATCATTAAGGGAGTGATAATTGCTCTGTCAATATGCATGTTGTACATGTAGTGTGGTGATTTTGTGTAATGGTGTTGAGCCTTCTGTCATTTCACATTTGTAAAATGCACTATTTGTGTATATTCAAAATAATATTGACTATAAGAAGTTACATTACACACACATTCACACTGTGTATTGACACTTTTTTTCCAGGAAATTTTATTCTTTCACTTCAGAAGTGTACATTAGTTGTTTTTTTTTTTTTTTCAGAAACACTTTAATTATGTATTATCTATAACCAGCATAAAAAAGTCAGGCAAGGATGCATGTCAATCTGTTATCAGCCATTTTATTCACTTCAAGGTCACATAGATTTGTTTTTTTCCTGTAAGATTTGAATAGTTATGTATCGTTTATCTTCAGAAGTTCAGAGTCACTGAATGTTTGTGTTATCTACCAGTGACGATAATTCTGGGCTCACGTTATGTAGTAGTTTCATTTTGACCAAATTGTTGAGATTATGTTGGCACAAATCACATGACAGGAAGATGTAATTTTTTTTAATTTATTTTACCCACTTATTGGCAGTCCAGTAATATCATTGTATTCACTTTGACCCAGTCAAATTTAAGTATTTTCAAAAACATGTATTTTCATTAAAATAATGTTATGTTTACAATTGCTTTCTATTGTTTGATTTTTTAAACATGTTGAAAAGCACATTCAGGTGCTTTTAAAACTTTGTAATGTAATAACAAGGAAAAAATTTTATGTATGAAGACATTTACACAGTGATTTACTTGTATAGGTTGTAGTGATTTATCAAATGAAAACTGTGGTACATTTCCTGTATAATTATAACATTCCTGGCTGACTACTTGGGCTAGGTTTGTGTCCGTGCTTTATGTATTTACAGTTTGTAGTAAACACTTGATCCGTCAGCGAGATCTTTGAAATTCAATACTTTTTCTAAAGACTTCCTGTAGAATACTTGTTATCACTTCCTCTAAAAACAGACTTATTTAGATGACTGAATCGTTTTTGTGTGATGGCTATAAGTACTGAAGACTTGTCCGTTTTTATTCATCATATTAAGTATTTGATGAGGACTTCCTTGTTCAGTTTAAGGGGCATACCGAAATTCAATCTTACTTTATAACCTGAAAAAATAACTTTTAAGTATGTATCACTTTCATAGCTTGAATGTTTACAAGTTTCATCTTTTTTGTCTATCTGTGAAAGAACTTTAAATGTTGTTACAAATGTTGAAATAAGTGTGTGCAGACCATTTTTAATACATCACTTAGTAAGTGGAGTCAATTGTTTGAAAGATGTACACGTTTAGTTATAACCAATTTCAGGATTATCTTAGCTAAGAGAGAGGGAGAGCAAGAGAGAAGCAAAGAGAGTAATCCATTTCAGTATATTACATATATTCAGAAATTTTAAAGCTGTGTTAATGTGAATCACTGAATTTTAATATATAAAGAATAGTAAAAGACCATCACTTGTAGTAGGACTGTTGCTGATTTTCAAATGACTGTTGGTCGTTAAGTAGAAATATACGAATGTTCATCAAGTGCCTCAATGCATTCTGTAGTTTTTATCCTAAGAAATAATTCATATTACATCTTACAATGTTGACATGTGTAATAATTATAAAAGTTTTCCTAAATGTTTTGAAGTTTAAAAAGGTGAATGCAATATTATGGATGTGTACTGGTATAGAGGTCATAAACAACTGTTGTAATAAATCGACAACAGAGAAAAGTATGGCAAGAAGGAAAACGTTATGATGTGTAAATGTATTTCCTAATGAGGAGCTGTAAGTTTGTTTCTAAGTAAGGGGCTTTACTGTTACAAAGCATGAATGAATACTTCATTTTCCCTGTGTTGCAATATTTTTATACCTGTTCTCTGATCATTTTTTATAGTTTTCACACTCAGTATTTTAAAATAGTCATATACTTCATTATTTTATTTTTTATTCTTTGGGGAAATGGTTCAGTATTTAATCCTCTGCTGACTTCAGTGTATGAATTATGCTTCAACTTCACTATTTTTCTGTTAACATTTTTATGAAGCAAAGACTAGTTTATTGTTCTTATATATACATTGCGTAGTTATTAGCAAATCTTGATCCAGACTTTGCTCAATAATTTTCTATTTTATTACTGTACAATCAGCATAAACTTCCTTGGTGCATTCGCTAGTGTCTTAAAGAAAGACAACTCCAGTTTTAACTTTATTTCACAAACATGTTTATTTTCTTTGTATTCCTTTGCATGTTGTGTAAAAGTTATGCCTTTCATCATATATTTTTTTCATCCCACCAGAGATAAAATAAGAAATCAGAAACATTAATTGCCAAAATTCTCCTCATTCTTTTATCTAAGCCAAATCAATTGACCAAGAATTTGTTAATACATAATATATTTTCATGTATTTTGTTGGCGGGTAATTTTATAACTTATCATCTTTTGAATCTGGTTTGATTTTTATTTACCTTTACAATTTATGTTTGGCCAACTTTATTAATGCAAGGTAATTTTGAATGAAAGAATTCTACAATTGCAGTAGTATTATATATGTCATGTAATTCAGATTATGTACAGTTGAACTTCAGTATCTCGAACATCGGTATCTCGAATACTTTGGATATGTCGAAGTGAGTTAGAAGTCCCAACTACTATTTCTCTATGGATTTTAACCTCGATATGTCAAATCCTTGGATATCTAGAAGTTTTTTCTCTCTCCCATTGAGTTCGAGATAACAATGTTTGACTGTATACATTTTATTGAAGCTTATCTGCAAATTCCTATAAAATATAAATTTTTGTCCTTTTTTCATCTTGCACTGCTAGAGATATCTTTTCTAATGGCATTAACAGAAAAAAAGTCAAACCAGAGACAATATAACAGAGAATTATCTGTAGACACAAATGTTAAGGCACTGGTTACTGGATATTGTCTGTTACGTGTGTAGCCTGAAAACATCTGTATGATGCCCAGGCAGGAATAAGAATCATTTATCTACATGTAAACAATTACCTTAACGACATATATAGAAATTTTAGATTAAAATCTATCTATACTACTGCTGTTTTGTGTTGTTGATATTTTGCACTTAAATCGAAGACTTTTTGTGCCCCTGCCATGAAATAGCTTTAGCAGAGTTACCCGTTTTCATCTGTCATTCCATCATAGTTTTCCAGATTTTTTATGTCATCTGAGTCACTCAGGACTTACTGCTATCTCTTTTCATCTATGGTCAAAGATTGTTCATCAGTCATAAACTTTTGAACATTTTCAGCTTCTTCTCTGGAACTGTTGAACCATTTACAACTAATTTGGTATATAGCATTTACAGGCAAAGGAGAACAAAACGGTGAATTTCATGATTTCTGTCCCCCTGAGGGGTGGGGCCAAAGACATCAAAATTAATGCTATCTTCAAAATTCTTTTTTGTTACTCCTGGACATCAAACAGTCAATCTGTTGGCATTATTATAATAAGCATTGAGCTTTCTACCAAAATTGTGAAATTCATAGGCCCACGTTAAGGTGTTCTAGTGGATGGGGCTCAATTGGTCGTATAGTGAAAATGCATTAATTCTTTGAAAATTTCTGCTCCTGGGTATAAAAGATTATACAAACTTAAGTGCATGGTACCTCTTCCAAAATTGTGAAATACATGACCCTGGGGTTAGGATGGGACTCTTTTGGTCATATAGTGGAAATACATTAATTCTTCTCTGCTCCTGGGTATTTAGCTGCCAAACTAAGTGCATGGTTATAATGAGCAAGAGTGCCTTTTCCAAAATTGTGAAATTCATGGCTCCTTGGTTAGGGGTGCAGGCCCTGGGGCCATAAAACTTAGACGAGCTCAGTTTTGATCTCGGTCTCACTTTTCCACTATTAATTCCTTTGGTAAAAGTGAGACTGAGATCAAAAGTGAGCTCGTCTAAGTTTTATGGCCCCGGAGCCTGGAGTTAGGACAGGGCTCCATTTATCACATAGTCAAAATGCATCAATTTGAAAATCTGTGCTCCTGAATAGCTATGATGAGCAAGAGTGCTTCTTCCAAAATTATGAAATTCATGAACATTGGGTCAGGAGTAGGTGATTAAGGTGGGCTGTATTATGATCATGTATGGAAATCAGAAAAGTTACTGCCCTTTATTATTCACTTAATTATGACGATCACTAAATAATGTAACTGATAGGTTTATTGAATAAAATAATTAGGTGAAAATGAGACGAGAATTCCTTATATTTGTACATAAAATGTTACTCAAAGATCATGAGAGGGCAAACACAGTCATCTAGTTAGCAGTGGCACAGATATGATACATGTATGATATCGTTGAGAAACTATGAAAGTTCTAAAATTTCTCTTTGTGCCTCATATAAGAAAGCTAAACACTGAATGAATTTTTTTTTACATTTTGAGAAAATAACCCAGTTTGTCATGTCATCATAAAGCTGTACGTAATGAGTTTAAACGTAGGGTAACTCCCATATTTCCCCAGGAAGACAATAAAATATAAGCAATTACAGAAGATAAACCACTATTGTTCTGTTTAAGTTTGGAAAATAAAATACATAGTACATTCAATGATTAATTCTGGTTAAATATAATTTTAAAGAATACTTTTAATCCATTACAAATCAAGTCGTTAACTGTATATGCCTATTTAATCTTACATCTAAGGGCAGATCACTCTAACTGCATAAGAATCCTCTATACACTGCATACTAATATTTTTATGCAATTAGAGTGATCTGCCTTTAAATTCCATCTAAAAAGTGTGTTACTAAATTTTTAACCAATTAAGGCATTCTTAACATTTTATTAGGTAAAAATAAATTACTTGAACATTTTATTTAGAAGTATTTTCCCTATATATCTAATAAATGGCTCAGTCTTTGGGGAGACGAGTTAGGACCTCCAACAATAGGTCGAAAAGATAAATCCTGTGGATTAAGGCGGGTAATATATTCAAAATTCTGATATTCTATTGCGTTCTTAATATACTTCTTCGATTTATGAACTTTAGATGAGCTGTAAAATAGACTTTCTCGGGCTTCAAAATTTAGAATTGAAATAGTCTCTTTCCTTGTCTGTTAAGGCTTCAGAAAAAGCTCCATTGACGAGACTTTTCTTTTCGTGTGTTTTGTTAACCTTATGGTAAAATTCGATGTCTTGTAACATGGTTAGAATCTTATTTTCGTAAAAGTCTTTGTCCATGATTACAACTCCTCCTCCTTTGGCTTCCTCCTTAATCACAATCCTAATAATAATAGAAGCGATAAAATTCTGGACAGAAAAATGCCCTCACCTTCTTTATGATCGCTTCCCACAAGAATTTTTCCTTCAAGATTGAAATTAGTACTTCAAAATAATACGTTTGCCTTTGGTAATAGTAATTTTTCACAAACTAAAGGAACTGCAATGGGAACAAAAGTTGCACCAAAATACGCAACACTTACCCTAGGTTACCTAGAATACAAACCACATCAAAAACTCATAACGTTATGGGGAGAAGATATAGCCAATAGCCTTAAATCTAAATGGAAAAGATTCCTAGACTTCACAATTACGACGTCATATACTCCGCGTATCATTGTGTAACGATACTATGTTACTACTTTTGTTTATTTAGTAAAGCTTCTGAAGATAGAATGAGAGGCCTAAAGTTTTAATAAGGTTTTTCTTCTTTATTTTAAGTTTATATATATATATATATATATATATATATATATATATATATATATATATATATATATATATATATATATATATATATATATATATATATATATATATATATATATATATATATATATTAGGGATGGCAATCGAATACAGAATTGCTAATCGGTTAACCGCAAGGCGTTCCGACCGATTAACCGGTTAACCGTATCAAAATAAACATTTTCTTGATGTACATACTTTTTGCCTAAGTAGCTCTTTTCATATATACAAGAAGACTGATAGAGTCTAGATGTTAAATCATTTTATTTGTCTTGATTCTTGATTTAAAAAAACCTACATGCTTCTATATTTTATTTTAGTTTCAATGTAGACTGGAAAAAATTAAGAAAAACACTAATCATGACTGAAAAATCATTGATATTTTTCCAAAGCAGATTTCACATACGTTCATTCAGCATTGTCGCCATAATTAAAACTAAATCTGAAATACATCACTTAATTTACAAAATTTGTATAGTATATTTATTCGATAGATAACTGCAAAAAACAAACATACTAATTCGCAGTTCTCAACGGTGATTTAATTATCATTAAAGAAATACAAGGACGGTCAGTGTAACGACATGGTGTTTTAAAAGTAATTAATACTTCAAACACAAAATGACCAATTACCCTACACTTTCAATCCGGTGAACCATAATTACAGCCAGCCAAGTCAGCTTGGATATGTGAAAACGCTGAATTATTAACGTTTATGCAAAGATCTCTTTTTTTCAACATGAATTTTAACAAATTTAGGTTAAAACTTACATATTTTTTATTTTTCCGACTAACCGATTACAGATTTTCTAACCGATTCCCATTGTTCCGACCGAGTAATCGGTTAACCGGTTACAAATTGCCATCCCTAATATATATATATATATATATATATATATATATATATATATATATATATATATATATATATGTGTGTGTGTGTGTGTGTGTGTGTGAGGGTGTGTGTGTGTGTGTGTGAGGGTGTGTGTGTGTGTGTGTGAGGGTGTGTGTGTGTGTGTGAGTGTATAAACTAAGGGTTGTTGTCCTACCATCCCATGGTTTTCAATAATCCTTATTAGTAAAACATGACCTTCTCGCTGCATTCAAGACTAAACGGGCAATGATATACCTTGGCCTGTATCGACATTGAGGTCTAAGACGATGGGAACACAGGTACTTGACGTACGTTGTATATTTTTCTTATCACAAAAATATACTCCCTACTTAATAAATCAGGGGGTTATTATTTTTTGTGATTAGAAAAATATACAAAAGGTCTTAGGGCCTTAACGGTCACTTGAGTATAATACAACAATTTAGACTATCGATAAAGTATAAAATAAACTGATAGATGAAGCTTTGTTCCCCAAAAGCAAGAGAAATATGATGATCAGGATCAACGAAACGATTAGTCAAGTATTCAGTAACAACTCATAAATTAAGTTCTGAACTATCCCACATGTATCACTATCACCATACAAACTATTCACAAACTATAAGAGCTTCTGTACTATTTTTAACCCCATTTCAGAACCTCTCACACTGGCCTCTCTTGGACTTTGAAGAACAATTAATAAGATAAGTAATTTTTGTCTCATTTTTATTCATCTCTTATTTAAAAGTCTACCTGATCATAAAAGTACTTTTTGTATTATGCAATAAAAATTCTTGTATACATGTAATTCTCTTATTCTATTAACCTTTGAAATACATTATTTACAGTGATTAATTACGCAGGTAGGTTAAGGCTTCCCGTAGAACATCACACTGCACTCTGTGCCTTCACATCTCTGAAAAATATGACGTCATAATCGAAAATGACGTCAAGTCACTGCAAACTTGAGGTGTTATGACGGGGGGAGTGTCATGAACTTTACACTTTATTTTAAACTGCATGTAAAATGCTATATAGCTATTGCAAAAATCACGGGTCGTTAAAGGTTTTTAAAGTCTTATATGTCCGAATATTTAAAAAATACACCGCTTTCCTACCCTTGATTGAAATTCAGCATGTTCAAAATGCTTATGAAAAATATACTTTTGAAATGTACTCTGTTATATACCCGTGGTTGGAGGTAGACTTTATTTTGTGTGTATAAAAGAGTCTGGCGCAGGTGATTAATGAGGATTAATCTAAGAATTTTTGTGGAAATCTGTAAGAAGAGGTTGTTCTCTGACTGAATCTTGCTTGGGAAAAATGTGTGTTGGCTTTGTTTTAATACAGATTACGATATTGTGTGGAAAATAACCTCCCCCCCCCCCCCCCCCCCCAATTTGTAGGTAAGTTGAATTTCTCAGGAAATATTTTGTATCGAAGTAATACTATGACTTTTCCCAAGCACATTTCGGATACACAAGGATACGGTGAGTTTATTTATATAACAAAATGTTAATAATAATTGTGTTAATCAGCTGCGCCGAAGCGATTTATATGAAACACTTCAAAAAATTATAAATGACCGTCACGTGATCAACAAAGTCATGTGACATCATAACAAATATGTTAATATATAGCCGAGGAAACTTTCTAAAATATGTTGACGGTGCGACCGTTGGGGCGAGCGCAGTGTTCACTTCATTAATATGTTGACGGTGCGACCGTTGGGGCGAGCGCAGTGTTCACTTCATTATTATGATCCGCCTCTTCAAACCGCACGAGACAGACTGTGACGTCACATGACGTCGTATGTTAGCTGCATTTCCATAAACAAAGTTTAAAAAGTGCAAATATTTTAACAAAGAACGTTTAATCTACTATCTGCATGCAATATCCATTAAATTAAGGTGAGTTAATTTTGTGTGAAATTTTAGTTGTTGTCACCGCGTGAACGAAGTTAGCAGCGAGAACAAGAAGCGATGCATTGTGGGTCAGAATTACTGCGGAAAAAAATTCTATTGAATGAATGTGCAGTAGTCCGAATTTTCTCTTCGCCCAGGCGTTGTCGTTAGAGCTCGCAGTGACGAGCGGCGCTTCGCGCCGCTCGCTGCGCTCGCTATTATGATCCGCCTCTTCAAACCGCACGAGACATTTGGAACGTCTAGACTGTGACGTCACATGACGTCGGATGTTAGCTGCATTTCCATAAACAAAGTTTAAAAAGTGCAAATATTTTAACAAAGAACGTTTAATCTACTATCTGCATGCAATATCCATTAAATCAAGGTGAGTTTATTTTGTGTGAATTTTTAGTTGTTGTCACCGCGTGAACGAAGTTAGCAGCGAGAACAAGAAGCGATGCATTGTGGGTCAGAATTACTGCGGAAAAAAATTCTATTGAATGAATGTGCAGTAGTCCGAATTTTCTCTTCGCCCAGGCGTTGTCGTTAGAGCTCGCAGTGACGAGCGGCGCTTCGCGCCGCTCGCTGCGCTCGCTATAAATTGGAAGTACTAAAGTTCAATACTTATAAATTAAAACCAAAACCGACCTCGGAATGACAGATTATGTTTTGAGCGCATTTTAAAGCTTCGGGAAGCCTTAACATAGCTGCGTATCAAAAGTGAATGGCAAATGGGAATAACTTCTCTCAGTAGAATACAAGTTAATAGAACCCTTGCCAGGACCAGAACACTTGACCAAATGTTCCATATGTTCAAAAATCTGGTAAAAATACCCTTGCTTATTAAAAACTTTTACACTGTTTGCCTCCGATATGCCCAGGAGCAGAGAAGATTTTCAAAGAAATAATGCATTTTCAACACAGATTCAACACAGCCCTATCCTAACACCAGAACCCATGACCCAGGGTCATGAAATTCACAAATTTGGAAGAGGTATCCTCATCATCACAACGATGCATTTAGTTGAAGATTTTCAAAGAATTAACACATTTTCACTATATAATCAACAGAGCCCCACCCCACCCCCGAAAAACACTAGAACCCCTGGCCCTGGGACCACAGGTTTTAAAAATTTTGTAAGAAGGACCCTTACTCATCATAACTAAGCACTTTATGTATCTGCTCAACACCAAGGGGCAGACAGGATTATTTAATAGAATTAATGCATTTTCACTATATTATCAATAGAGCCCCACCCTTACACCAGAACACCTGACCCAGGGGCCACGAAACTCAATTCTGGAAGAAGAACTCTTGCTCATCAAAACTATACACTTACTTTTTTTCCTTTATAGCCAGGAGCAGAAAAGAATATTTTCAAGGAAATTATGCTTTTTCACTATATAATCAATAGACCCCCTCTTTCACCAGAGCCCCCTACACTGGGGCCATGAAATTTACAATTTTGGAAGAGGCACCCTTGCTCATCATAACTATGTACTTAGTTAGTCTGTTTAATACCCAGGAGAAGAGAAGAAGATTTTCAAAGAATTAATGCATTTTCACAATATATTCAATACACCCCGCCCTAACACCATAACCCCTGGCCATGGGGCCATGAATTTCACAATTTTGAAAGAGACACCCTTGCTTATCACTAAAAAAAGACTAATAAACTATGAAGAAACTAAAAACTAGTTTGTTTATTTCATACCCATGAGCAGAGAAGATTTTCAAAGACATAATACAATTTCACCATATGATCTATATAGCCCCGTCCTAGCACCAGAACACCTGACTCTGGGGCCACGAATTTCAAAGATTTGGCAAAGGACTTAATACTTATTACAATCATGACAACATTCAACTGCTTGGTGTCCAGGAGTAAAGGAGAAAATTTTTAAACTTTGCACTAATTTTAATGGTTTAAGCCCCACCCACCCACCCCCCCTCCCCCAGGGCCCAGGGGGACAGGGACCATGAAATTTTGTTCCCCTGCACTCATATATGTTGAATAATAAAATTGATTGGAATTGGTTCAGTGGTTCCAGAGAAGAAGCTGAAAATGTTCAAATGTTAACGGACGACGCACAACGCACGATGCACGACGACCGACGAAAACATATAGCAATAGGTCACCTGAGTGACTCAGGTGACCTAAAACTCAAATAATCAATTTTAATTAGCCAGAAGTGAATATAAACTGTAGTAATTTCCGTTGCTGATATACTCATCAAAACAAACAACGATATACATGTATATACACAATAAAAGTCATTTAATACGACCAAAATTTTCAAATACTGTAATTAATTGGACAAAATTAACTTTTGTTAGAAAACAATTGACTGACGTTAGAGTGAGCATAAGACTGAAAAAAAACTGGAACAGTAAGAATCAATGATACCTCCCAAGAGATTAAACGTGCTTCAGATGTGTGACTTCTTATCCCGGATCTATTTACACTTACTTCAGGTACGCTGAGTTATGAAAATATAAATTAATTACTAAGCTGGTAATGTAAATACTTCCATTCAACAGTAACAATAGTTACCAACTCATGTTGAGTTCAGTCGAGCTGATGATAGGTTTTGGTCCTGGAAATAATTCACATGGAAACTGCAGCAACAAAATGTATATTCTATATAGTATGACCATGGATACATAGGAAAGATTTTGTTTTAAAGAATTGCGAAGCTAGACTTTGGGCGCATGCAGCTTTGCTCAAGGTAAATTGTAGTTACAGCCGGGGTCAACATGTACTATCTGGCTACTGGAATAGGTACCCTTAAAAGCAATAGCTGAACCCCCCCCCCCCCCCGAATCAATAAATAAAGACCCCCCCCCCCCCAAGAAAAAAACAACCAATTAAACAAACAAGCAAGCAAGGGAAATAATCCAAACGAAAACAAAACAATGATAAAGTAAAAGACAAATAAAGTAATAAAGTACACATGTAATAAAATAATGAATAAATACATATAAAACACAATTTCAAAACTAAACCAGAATGTGGTTTAATTTATAAAATATGGAAAGTTGATGACAGTCTCTAAATTTAACTCCGTCGATTACCGATCTAGACAGATCAATCGAGGACAATATTTAACCTGAGCTGATATTGTCCTGTATCATGGCCTGGATAGGTTTGTAAATCATTTGTATATTTGTCTTGAAAAATAGCTATGGAAATTGAAACGGATTTATTTATTTTGATATTATTGAAACAATTTGAGCGTTATTTTGTCAGTATTAGAACAATTTATTTTAATCAACAACAAGGTTATAAAATATATATACATTCATGTACCTCAAAATGCACTAGATAATGAACAACTGTCATAGCATGTCAATGAATTCTTATTGTTGGCTCTACTTTGTGTAGATATTTTGTAAGTGGGAGTGAAAATTGATTTTTGTTTGATTTACGTTGTAAAAATACACATTTATTATCGCAGAATTCAATAATTTCATATTTAAATCAATTAAAAAACTTATTTTTAGGGGTGTGTGTACTTTTAACAATAACTAAAGTGAAGCTATTCATATTTTGTAAAAATTCTTCGTCCTATATATCGAACTTTCATCAGTTGGAATGATCTGTTCTGAAATTTATATTAAAAATAAACGGCAATTTACAGTATACTAGTGTTAGAAATATGTGATAGGTTCAAGTTTTCGAAATATCGTATTTGTCCAAGATAAAGTATTTGCGTGCATACTATTATGTTGATATATATCTTCTGGAACATTTTTCCAGGGTAAGAAAATAACAGATACCATATATCAAAAATGTAAGGTTTTACACACCATACGTTGTACGGGCTTTATTATTTCTGCAAAATATATTTATCATGATGTTTTACTTTAAAGTCATCGCTATTCTGATATCTGTGCTTAACATATTTTCACTATATAATCAATAGACCCCCCTCCCCGAAAAACAACATGATTGGTAAAAATAAAAATTAAAAATTAAAAAAAAAAGCCACTATAATGAAAACTTGTGTCTCTTTGATTGATATTGTATAGATACACTTATATGATTCAGAATTCATTCATGTTATATTTAATTAGAGAAAAACATCGAAAGTAGAAACATTTTTGTTACTCAGAGAGAAAATGAGTCAAAATCTTACTTTCTTCTATGATATTTGTATCAAAAATCAAAAGATTTATTGAAAGCATGAGTATTGAAAAGTTTTCACAAGCTCTACTGCACTATAAAACGCAAATAGTGTAAAATATAAGTGCGTTACAGTCAGGTTTAACGAATTTTGACCCGAGTTGAAAATTGACGCGGGGTTCATTTTTCAACGTTGAATATTGAACTGCCTGAATTTCCGCATTGTTATCGTCAATGTCACCGTCACATGACTTTAAATTCGCATATACAGCTTGCAAAGGTAAATATCGTTTTTATCGTCCTCGGTCTACCGACATTCCATTTCTTGCGATTTGAGACATTGGTTATGTTTTCTGCGTACGCGTACTATAGAGAGGGCGGTGCGCCACGTTTCCGCAAAAAATAGTTGTTCTAAATTATACAAGTTTCCTTAATTTACATGATAATAGAGAAATTTTTTTACACTAAAATTGGTTTTAAAAATGTATCATTTACTCTTTTTTAAGATTCATTAACTTCACAATTCCGCTTTTGAAGATATTTATTTTTTAACTTTTGTTTGACTGTTGCAGTTATCCATTTTACACTATAAAAAGTTTGCTCTTACCATACATTTGATAAACCACAGTTGTCGAAAATATTTTGTGCAAAGGAAATCCAGGTGTTTGCCACTTCAACTTTATCATGCATATTGTTTACATATATGAAATATTAAGATAACGATCAGTTATCAAGCCCAAAAGTCCATTACAAATTGGGAGCAAAACAAACAAAGACCTCTAAAAACAATTTTTTTTAATTAAAAAATCCCATGGGTATATCATCAAAGACGCACACATAAAAAGTTTTTTTAATCTAAAGTATTGTGTAATTCCTATTAAATCTTGTAGCATTACCAAAGACGAAAGATCAGTTAAAGGAGAGAAACCTGAAATTACGCAAAGAATTAGACGACCTACGACGACAGTATGAGGATAATGTGTACAGTGTTATAGAGAATCTGAAGAGACAGTATTATCGAACAAAAACGGACCCCTGTCGCTATGAAATACTGAAAGAAATCATTAAAGAAGCAACGAGTGATGAGAATTTAGAACAAAGTGACGTTGTTCCAGGGCAAGGTAAAAACAGTTTTGTCTTGTATGATATTTCACTACCGTGGATTGCATCAAAGGACTTCTTGAATGAAATGTGGAGATAACGAACAGTATTCAAGCTTAAAGACAAAAAAAATTGGGAGCAGAGCAAACACAGACCTCCAAAAACATCAGAGGTGGGATCAGGTGCCATGGAGGAGTGAGCATCCCCTGCCGACTGCTCACACCCGCCGTGTGCTCCTTATCATGATCGGAAAAATGGAAAAATCCCTAGACAATTCAGTGTGTAAATAATGGCTTAAAAATGAAAAACGCCAGTCAGCATTTAGGTTGTATTTGCTGACAAGGTCACTGAATCGACCATAAAACTTACGAAATGAGGACTTCAAACGAGACTGTTGATATCTTTATATCATCAACTTGTTTGTCAATAGCTTGCCTCGTTTTAGAAATTGTTCATATGTAGATCATGTTCTTGCATATTGAATCAGCTGGCAGACAAAAACCCAATATGCAGATGATTAGGTATTTTGCTACATAAGTAAGGGAAGTTGACCATTGAAAAATTGAAGTTATCACGTTTATCATAAAATTTTTTTGTTAGGTTAACATTAAAGTCTTTTTCTAGTAAAATATCCATATATGAAACAGTTGTGTTAGACCCCGTGGCATCTTTTATTTCGAGCTCACTTGGATATTTCGAGTCGACACATAAATGGAAGTAACTATTGTTAATTGATAATATGTCGTCGATTTTCTATATGTTGAGTTGAAGGCTACACAAATATTTTCTTTTTCTCATGTAGAAGTTTTTGAATAAAGTCTGCTTCATATGAATACAAAAATATGTCTTCTAACAAGGGGGCGCAATGGGTACCCATGGGAATTCCAACAGATTATTGAAAGATCTGATCTCCAAAAACTACATTGATATTCTCAATCAGAAACTCAAGCATCTTTTTAATATCAACTTCAGAGTACTTGTGTGTACAATCAGATTGCTTTTTAACAAAATAATTTTGCAAATGAACTGTACTCTTGCGATAATTAACTCCATGAAGAAGCTGTTTGACCAAGGGAAGTAACTCTGCAAAGAACTGTGTTTTACCTTTTTTAAAATTCTTAGAGTTTGATGATTGTATAATGTCCTAGTGTTTTGATATGAAGGCATATTTTTCTGTTATTATACAGTCAAAGTATATCATTGAGGGAGTCAGCAAGATTCAAGATCCCTAAGACCAAGCCTATTTCCTGAGGCAAAGTCCATGCGATTAACGATTAACCGGTTAATCGATCGGACCGTCTTGCAGTTAACAACCGATTGGCAATTTTGTATTTGATTGCCACCCCTAAAAATAGATAAATAAATTCAATAGAAGTAATTTGCATTTGAATTAATGGTCTATAAAATACATGTATCGGCAAGCAATATTCTGTTTATTATATAGCAATTTATACTGCTGTAATATGTGAGACCTTCATGTGCTAACTCTTTATATTGTTTACAATTAATTTATTCTGGATGGGAATTTACTATAATCATAGTACATGATTCTAAAGTGATTTATTAAGCTTTAACAGCATTTATTATGCCTTATTTCAACTCAGATATGTTTTACAAAACCTGCAGTGTTACCGTTCGTGTTTTGACAACTTCCCCCATTTTCGATCATTTGTTTACAAATTTTATTCTCTAAATTTCTTCGTAAATACGGTAAAACAATCGTTTTAATTAAACTGCAGCTGTTTATAATTACCAGTTGTTGATGCATGTTCAGTACCAGAGTATTCCTTTACCTTCATCTATGTGAAATCGTCATTTTACCGCTCGCGAACTTCTTGTGTACTTTACCATGCGTTTCTCTCGTCTGACTGACCGCTTCACTACTCATCTTGTCACTTGTGATTCTGCTGTCTGATTTTTCATTATTCAACCATGTTGTACATTATTTTTATCTTGAATTATTGTAATATGATGCTGACCACTATTTTTGTCTATTTTTTACCTTATGATGGTGAACTATTGTCTTATTTTATCGATCTCATCGGCGCACTATATTGTGAAGTCATACTTCCGTATTTACATATATCGCTGCGCGCACTACTTTAGAAGGCGCCTAGATTCGAATCTTGATTTTTATAGTAAAACTACGTAGTCCTGGATATTTTTATTTATTAAACTAATTACATTATTTAGTGTCCATATAATTAAAGTAATCCGGACAAGGTCTTGTATTATTCATTAAATGATTATTAAGGGTTGTAATTTAGCTTGTCCGGATATCGGGAATTGTTCGGAATTTCCATAGATCCGTACAGCGTTTGGATTGGTTATAAATTTTCCGGACAAAAAGGACAAACGCTGATTGGTCATAGAAGGTTATATATAGGACCCAGCTTCAGCATCTCGACACTCACTCTTGACTCTTCATCCCTTCGGGTTGTTTGGTTAGAACTAGAGAAAGTCCAAGGTATTCAAGATGATTAATCTTGTTGTGGATGATGCTAATTTTTATAAGGACTTGCGCGTCCGGACAGGATAGTTTTAAGAGTATAGAGATTATTCCAGTCATGTAGACCAGTAGTTTATTGTTTACAGTTCGAGTTATTAATTAGGACTTATGACCGGAACATTTCTATGAGTCAGTCGTTTCCAAGTTCAGAAGTTTATTTGATAGTTTATGTCACGTTTATACATTTTAATAGCTGTCCGGATCGTTTGTTCGGATATCCAGAGTAGTTCTCTCAGTTAAGTTCACTTAGGTTATTCTTGTCCGGAATGGCTTGTCCGGATTTGGTAGTATTTGTTCGGATTAGCTTGAGCTGAAAATATATTCATTTTGAGAGTATACACATATTCTGAATAGTTTACGCATATTTTCTTCATAAGTTAAGTGGCATTAGAGTTTAATATTAGGCATGTCTAATAGTTTAGTACAGAGATAGTTTATTTGGATTTCCCAAATAGTTAGGGACTGTCCGGATCGTCGCTTGTTGAATTATTAAATTTACAATTATTTTTACGCAATTAATTACGCAAAGTTGTTTTACCTTGAGTTCGAGAACAAGGAGTTGTTTGCAGATACTAGTTATAACAATAAATTAACTGTGTAATGTAGTCGCAAGACAAGTTCACCCCCCCTTTTTTTTTTCTCCGGGTCACCTATTGTCTGAATGGTCAGCATCTCATTCGTTGTTATTGTTCTTGATTGTTGCCATCCTAATAAAAACTTGTTATGCCTGACAAAGGAGTTTTTATTTTGTGACAAGGGTCCGCTCGACTTGTTACACTGCGACAAAGTCACATGATCCGCCTAGCTCTCACTGCGCATTATAAAAGTAATTCATATCCCGTATAAATTAGGCCCCACCTCTTTACTGAGCTGCGTTATGAATATTCACGATTTTATTTGGAACATATTGGAGTTTTTCATATGATTGAAAGAAATTGCTAGTTCTTCCAATAGGTGTGTATCAGTTCATCAAACTGACGCACCTTTTTGCAGTGAATCAGTCTTTTTACGGTGATTTTCAGGGAATCAGCTTTTATACAGTAGAAAATCAGTAGAGATATAGTAATTGTTGTCTTTCAGATATATCTGAACCTATCCTTCGTGGAGCCATCGGATTTCAGGAAAGTAGTCGGGAATTAGCTGCGTTGATGAAGAGGACTGCACAACACGAGAGAGGTGTGTTAATATTAGATACTAGTACAACGAAGACACAGCTTTTCATAAACCTAATGTTTTTATGTACAGTATAGTCGACTCATTTTGAAATGTTAATGAATAATGCGGCTAAGAGTTTTCTTACAGCAGGGAAAATAACATTTGGAGAAATAAGAAATTTCTGTTTTATGACTGTGCATTGTAAAAGATACGTAATTACTGATTAGAACTGTTTTTTATTCATCATTTTATAGAAGTTTCAAACATGCATAAAACAGAAATAGAAGTTCAGAATGAAGAACTTATCCACCACATACAATGTTACGACAGCAGATTTAAACAGGCACACAACAGACTGCGCATGCTCAGACGGGAATACGTCGATTCCAAACAGTACCTACCTCCAAGACGATATTCCCTGCTGAAGGAAATGATTAAGACTGTTATAAAAGACAGTGAACTTGCACCAGATTGAGTAGTTTCAATTTTGGGGGGCTGCTTTAATCCTATTGGTATATGTGCTGATTTACATTATTTGATTTTTTCATGACTTTCAGGTGATACAGTAGATTACCATTTTAGCTGTGTCTTATATTCTCGAGATAGTGAATTTTATCGGTACCTTATTTTCGCGAGATTTTCATTTTAGCGGTACCTTACATTCGCAATATACAGTAAAATTTGTCTAATCCGGACTTTGAGTACTCCGGAATTTTGTCCATCTCGGCTATAAATTTTAGTCCCGTGGACTTCTTTAACAAATGTATTATAAAAAATTCCGTGTAGTCCGGATACTGTCTATTCTGTATTCCGAATGGTAAAATTGGTCCCAACTACTCTTAATTAACGGTAATTATTTCCTCTAATCCGGCCACGCAGAATAACCTACATGTAGGTCACTTCCATGCAATTAACACCTTTCGTGGTAGACGTGCTAACATGTAAATGTCATTAAACGAACTGAAACGCGGCGGTGACACAACCCGCTTTAAGAAGTATAAAGTTAAGTTACAAGTAGATGCTTACATGTTTAACTTGCTCACACAGCAATGAGTATGACATAAAATCAATGACAATATAGGTACACGATTTGCAAATCAAAATATAAATCGGGATCGAAACTCTTATTTCAAAATGGCGCCATAACATTGAAGGGAAGGCGTAAATGTTTGCATAAAAATTAAAATGTCAATTCAATAATTATCAAATCGTAAATAATTGTGTTTACGGTTAAGTTGAATGCGCTTTCCGACTTGCAGAACCCACACTTGATATCCACGTGTCTGTAGATTTTTACTCCGTCAATATTTCACGTTGAAAGTCTCAAACTTTGTGAATGAAAAAGAAAAATTGACAGTAAGTCATGCGATACTTTTGAATAATTTTAGACTCCATAAATATCAAATGATTTATATAAGTTTTCCAACATGTGCATT